TCTCTTCCCATAGAGGACCAGTTGGATGATCTTAAAGAGTGAAATAGATGGACACATGGGTCCAGAAGACCTGGATCCCCGCAAGTCCACCTGCAGTCTCCCCACTGACACCTCCCAGCCTAGTGAGTACCCAGTCACATGCTCAACCTGGTGTAAGTGCAATGAATACAACAATATAGATAGTGTAAAATAAAAATAAATATATATTTTCTTACACTCCAGATTTCCCCTACAATAAGTCTGCTTCCTTACCCGGATATGGACGGAACGGCATCTACAAGGTGAGCTGCAGTGAATGCAAGCATACATAAGAAGTAGAAGGAAAGGCAGGCTTGATTTAAACAATCTTTGGGCTCAAAACAATCCATGGTGCTTCCTGGAATACGTGTTTGCTTTAGTCAGTCTTACCTATGTGGATCCAAATAAACAGACTTCATGAATAGCCAATACAGTTGTGTAGTGTGATCAGTGAAAACGGTCAGGAAATAATTGATGATCAATTTATTATTTTTTATGTGAACAAAATTATATTTGACCACTAAGTCATGGTTATACAATCAGAAATAAGTAAATGAAAACCATTATGTGAATTTGAACATTTCCAAGTTTGATGCCCCTAGTAGTTCTAACAAAAACAGACGCTGCCAGTGCCAACACAAAACCTGCACCCATGTTCACTGTAACAAACAAAATAAATCTATACTTAGTAGCCTTAAATTACGTAAAACCAAAGAAGAAAATGTTGTCTATAGAGCAAACAAAAATCCTCAAGTGAATGTAAGAAATGTGCAGTCCACTGGGAGAAGAGAAAAGGAATTCAAGAGGCTAGAAACACCATAGCTCAAACTTGAGTCCTTAAAGGAAAACTCTTTGTGTTTTACAACTGGGGTTTAATTTCAGAGCTATGGACATCAGTTTTATCCTTTAAGGTGAAGTTGGATAAATGGATCTAACAAGGCAAGAAACATGAACTGTCAGACAGTGAAAAAGGTTATAAACAAGCTGACAGGTTGCCAGAGAATACAAAGCACTGTTTATAGAAGGAAAACAAAGGGAGGGCACCCATAGTGTTGCTGAGGCAAGACCTCTAGAAACTGTGATTGGTACACAGACCATTTGGGCAAACATTTTTGTTTCTTTCTTTGAGTTTTCGTCCAATTACATTTGACTAACCTGGAAGTTTGTCTGATCTTCTGACTGCCTCATCTACTTAGTCTCATTCCAAAATCATCAGCTTGGTCAGTGGCCCTCCATTTCAAAATATGACACTGTAGATATCCCTCTAGCATTTGTGATCGTGAAAGTCAGGTGGTGTAGTATGAAGAGCAAGAAGGTCTGCATATGGAGGTGGTAGGGTAGATGGATGGATGCTGTTCATGGCCACTGACCAAGTGGCAGTATTTGTTG